TGATCTACTTCAAGGCTTTGGAATCTGACTCAAGGGATGTCATCATGCTGGGTTCAGAGGAAATTCCCGCTCATCACCGAAGTGAGACCACAGAGGGACACTAAGGGAAAGAGACTGTCTTGCTGTTGTTGTGATAATGAGAACAACTGCCAGACCCCTGTGATGAGCAGTGCAGTCAGGACAAGAGTGTGGCTCTGGGAAACAAGGTGACATAAACAATTATATCACTCGCAGAGAGAAGATACTGGAAACAAATCGTGGTAGTTTGTACAATACCACAACACACACTCAATTAAAAATTATTTGGACACACATTGCTAGCTGGTCTGTAATTGGAACTACCTATATGTCTGCTACTACAGCACCATAGATCAAAGTCACAGGTGCGAGTGTCTCTAGCACTGTTTTAAGGAATTTGTCTGAATGGTAGCAGTACAAACATATATATGAGTCTATGCGTTGAAGCAGGTTTCTATAATTCCAGATCTTAGCAACCATCATTCAGGGGTCTGCTTTGAGTTATGCTGCAGCTCCATGGAATATGATGCATCCTGAGAGAAGATGAAGGTGAAAGACAGAGCACCTCTGCATCCCAATACATCAAACACAGTAACAACAAACTCCCCAAACTCAACCGCATACTGTGCTGTCATTTGAGGCTAACAAAGCAGAGAGAATGAAGAGGGACAGAGTTCGTCTGAAGAGGGTCCACAGGCCCCACTCCCATTGGCTAGGTCTGCAGAGGTCCCTTGCAAAGAGTAGGCTTGGCTGAGGAAAAAAACATAACACACACATGTATGTATGTATGTACACACACACACACTTTCCTTTTTCCTGTGTATCAGAACATGACTTATGCAGGGATTGGGATACAGTTCAGTGGCTAAAACACGTGCCACACAGGTATAAGGACTTGAGTTCAAATCCTCAGAACCCATGTAGAATCTGGACACATAGCAAGAATGTGTAATGCAGAAGGGCTTGAATCCCACTTGGAAATCAGAGACAGCTGGAGCAGGCCAGCTAGCCTGTCAAGCTAGGATGCAAAACTCAAGGAGTTTGTCTCAACCAAGGTAGAAGATGAGGACCCCCCCCCCCACGCCAGGTTATGATGAGAGGCTGCGATAAGCCTGACCTCCAGTCTAGAACTGTCTGTTTGCTAACAGGCTGTGTCATAGCTATTTCCTATAAGTTTCTCTAAAGAGAGGAGGCCCACAAAACTCATTACTTCATGATACCATATGAGCAGTAGACTCGGGGAGAGAAGACCCTTGTAAACTTGTAAATCTATTGCATTCCTCCATGACTAACATGCCAAGAGAATCCACTAGAGAAACAGAATTCAGAACTAGGCCAGAGAGCCGGCTCAGCATTAAGAGAACTAAGAGCACACACACTCTTGAAGAGTTTCCTCCCCCGGGACACATTAGATGGTCCAGAATGGCCTCAAACTGTAGCTCCGAGGGTCCATTTCTCTCCAGGCATCCTTGCACACAAATAAACACAAAAATTTTGTTACAAATGAGAAATCTGAGTCATCTTAAAGCCATATAGCCTACGGAAAACCTTAGAGCTATAAGAAAAACTGAAAATTCCAGAGTCACTAAAAATGTCAACATTTTGTGGAAACAATTCATGCATGTATGCAAAGACAGTCATGGTGGTTGAGAGCTAGAGTCTGGAAAGGGTATGGTGAAGCTGGAAAGCAAGGTCTGCTTTGATATTTCTAGATGTGTATTAGCCGCATTTAGGTGTTACGTTTGCAACTGAAATGACCATCAGAACGCATGTGTTAGAGGTTTGGCTCCTAACTTGTGGTGCAGGTGGCAAGGCCAGCTAGCTTCATGAAGTGATCACTGGGGTGTTTCTTTGGGGAACTAGATCTTGTCCCAACTGCTTCTTGTATCCCTTTACTGTACTTCCTGTACACTGTCAACCATGAATAGTTCATCCTTCCACCAAGAGGTTCCTGCCTAGCCAAAAGATTCAAGAAGCTGTGACACAAAGTCTCTGCAGCCACAAGGCAAGAGACCCGTATTCCCTTAAAAATTATGCTAGGTATTCTGTCCTACAAACAACAAAGCACGATCAAGTGAAGTCTTCTTGCCCATGTTATAGATACTGGGTAAGAGTTCTAGAGAGATGGCTCAGAGGTTAAGAGCACTGACTGCTCTTCCAAAGGTCCTGAGTTCAATTCCCAGCAACCACATGGTGGCTCACAGCCATCTATAATGAGATCTGGCCCCCTCTTTGGGCCTACAGACATACATGTAGGCAGAATACTGTATGTATAATAAATAAATCCTTAAAAAAAAAAAGAGTTCTAGTCAAACCGTGGGGGTGGTCAGGATTCGATCACACCTAACCCAATTCTTTTTTTTTTTTCTTTATGGTGAAAAAGTATATATTTGGAATTAGCCAGCTGGACACAGTTTAGATGATCCCAACTTTGTTGGCAACATCCAGAGCATCATAATCAGGAGCCAAGCGAACATATGCCTTCTTCTCTCCGTCAGGCCTTATAAGGGTGTTGACTTTGGCAACATCAATGTCATAGAGCTTCTTCACAGCCTGTTTGATCTGGTGCTTGTTGGCCTTGACGTCCACAATGAACACAAGCGTGTTGTTGTCTTCTATCTTCTTCATGTCTGACTCAGTGGTCAGGGGGAATTTGATGATGGCATAGTCAAGCTTGTTTCTCCTGGGCGCGCTCTTTCGAGGGTATTTGGGCTGTCTCCGGAGCCGCAGGGTCTTGGGCCATCGGAAGGTGGGTGACGTGCGGATCTTCTTTTTGTGGCTGTGGACGCCTTTCAGCACTGCCTTCTTGGCTTTCAAGGCCTTCGCTTTGGCTTCGGCTTTGGGAGGGGCAGGAGCTTCCTTCTTCGCTTTCGGCGCCATCTTGGCGAAAAGCCTAACCCAATTCTTAACCATTTAATGATTTACACTTCCAGCCACTCTTTGGGAAAACTGGGGGCTTCATGGATGCTAGCCAGGCTCCTTACCCGAGTGTGCTTTAAATCAACTTCAGATTTGGATTCTGATCATCTTGGACAACATATTTATATCAGAAACCATTACAAATTAGTTTCTAATGATTTAAAAGATATTTAAAAACACATTTCAAATTCATGTTTAACATTTAATTTAAATATGCAGTTTTTCATTACCACTTTTAATTTTACAAATAGCTTCATGTTTATTGTACTTTATAAATATAACCAGTGACTGAATTACCAAAGATATTTGATTTGTTAATGATAAACACTTGGTAGTACCAGTTTTGCATAATTTTACTTTTTGCTTGGTAAGTTTTACAAGTTCAGAGTAATATAAATTCCTTTTTTTTAGTTCAATTTTAAAAATCACTGTTTTATACTTCAAAATATACAATGTTATACCTTTTCAAACTTGTCAGTGTCAGGCTGGTGCCAAGTGTGATAAAGAGGAGAGAAGGTTGCTATCAGAGGAAGAAAATTCTCACAATTAAAGATGCCTAAGCAGAATTGATGGGCACTATCATTTCGTCTGCATTAAAGCTGCTGTTTCAGCACCCCTTCCTGGTGGTACAGTGAATGACAAGAAACCCAGGAAGATTTTCTAGCTCCCTTAAATCCATTTAAAATACACTAATACCAGCTATTAAATTCAGAATACACACTTGTACAAATTAGGAGTTTTTTAATTTGTTTTTTAAGGGTGTCTCAGGGGTTTTTAAATTTGTTTTTTAAGGGTGTCTCAGTTAGGGTTTCTAAGTTGCCTTGACTATGGCAACTCTTATAAAGGAAAGCATTTAACTGGGGCTGGCTCACAGTTCAGCGGCTTAGCCCATTATTGTCACGGGGAGAAGCATAGCAGAGTGCAGGCAGACATGGTGCTGGAGGAGCTGAGACTTCTCCATCTGGATCCACAGGCACAGTAAGCAAACTGTCATACTGGGCATGGCTCGAGCATGTGAGACCTCAAAGCCCACCTCCGTAGTGACACACTTCCTCCAACAAGGCCACAGCTCGTCCATAGTGCCACTCCCTATTGGCCAGGCACTCAAACACTTGAGTCTATGTGGACCATACCTGTTCCAACCACCACAAAGGGCATTGCCAAAAAAGGAGTTAGCCAAAAGAGCAGGGTGTTAGCAGTGTCACATGAACATCAGAAAATAAAATCAGCACAAAGTCCTTGTAGGCGTCAATAATCAGACACTCTGACACTGACATTGACACTCCAACCACAGAAGCACGAAGTCCCTTCATGGTGACCTAATGCTGCACAGACACAGCCTCTCTTCAGCTCCTCCCAATACTTTTCCAGCTTTGTTGCTGGAAAATAAATAGAAAGTCTAAAAATGAGTAGCCATTGATTACTGATGCTGAGTTCTCATCCTTGGCAACAAAAAATTCATGTGTACAAACATGTGGTAGGCCAGTCTTCAACACGCTCTTAATTTAAAAAGGCATGGCATAGAAGCCAGACAGTGATGGCACACTCCTTTAATCCCAGCACTTGGGAGGCAGAGGCAGGCGGATCTCTATTGAGTCTGAAGCCAGACTGGTCTACAGAGTGAGTTCCAGGACAGCCAGAGGTAGAGACTCTGTCTTTAGAAAAAAAATGGAAAGCTATTGACAGTGACCCTCTTTTATAAACAAGGACAACCAAATTCAACCACACGTCATGAAAAGACCTCTACGTTCCCATTCCCTTCCCATACTAAGCTGCAAGTTCTTGAGCCGAGCTTAGGAAGCCAGGTGGTTCCATGGTTAGAGCTCCCTCCGGGGAACTGGCATTACCCAGCATCACTGCAGTGCCTGCTGCTGAGTAGTCTGAAGCACATGGCCAATGCTGAGTCACCGTGGGAATGCAGGGCTAGCGTCTCTCCTGGAATTGCACTTGGGAAGGACTCTGTGACCGCACCAGCTCACCCAGCCTCTTCTCCCATGGCTCCAAACACGACTTCAAACCCATGTCATCTACCTCAAGGGAAAAATCAGGCCTGAATTCCAATCCACTGGGGAAAATTATTTTATTCTTAAATTCATTTTCAAAATTTTGATTATTTATTGATCAGGGAGTTGCAGTGCTAGGAATAGAATCCAAGGCCTGGCACGTTCTAGGCAAGCTTTCTACCAGTTACATCCCCGGCTCAAGCATAAATCTCACATCCCCCCTCCGTATGTATGTTCCACTGTTCCTACCCTGTCAAGTTCAGGGATTCCAAAGGAAAGAGAAACACCCGAGTCTTCTGGAACTCTGAGATCTGCTCAGTGGTGTGGGGTTGAAACTACTTGTTCTCTAAAACAGAACAGAGGTTGAAGAGTGGCGGCCGACTTGGGCTTGGTGAGGACTTGAGATGTGCCAGCTCAAATGTGGGAAGACAGTTTCTCTGGGCGACAGTAAAGATAAGGAGAGCTCCACTCCATGCAACGCGACCTCTTACACTATACTAACAACTGTTCCAAACTAAAGAATATTTTCTTTGCTTGCACCGAGAATAGTTAGGCTTACAGTGACCCAGAGCTGACCCTAAGGCAGGATGACGGTTCCACAAGACCATGAAGGACAGCTGAGAAAACTAACCTTGCATGCCCAGTAGCCACACACTGCACCATGCCACAAACCATGGTGGCAAACTATGTGCCAAGGGCCACATGTGTACATTGCAGCTTCCCAGTCTAGTCCCTGTAGCAGAGCACCATACACAACAAACCCAAGAGAGCAAATGCTGTGTTCCAATAAAACTCTATTTGCAAACACTAACGAGCTTATTAATTTTCACATTCATGATTTTCCTTTTAAAAACCTATTTAAACTATAAATACATTATTTATGAATAGGCTCTGAAAAACAGTCAATCAGTGGCTGGACTGGCCAGCTCCACAGCTGGTTCTCCTGCACAGGCCCTTAGCAGTCATGGACAACGTCTCACATCTCTGATTCTAGAGACCTGTTTTCTCATATTTCTCATTTAAAAATTTAGATCACACAAGCTCTGTGAATATTCTCACATGAAAAAGTAATTCAGGGAGGAAAAAATCCTTACCTTAAAAAAAATCTGTTAACCACATAGTTCATCTAAAATTTACATAATTCAGAAACATGTTTGAAAAATTAGAATTTTTATTCTATGCAATAAGAACAATATGCATAGACCTGGTACATAATTTCTTAGGTTTTACTTTAGGAAAAAGAAAAAGATAATGAGAAAGGTTTATAAATCTCTTTGTTCCTTACTATAAAAAGCTGTTATGATGTCAACGATCACTTATATGTACAAACATCAACACCACACATGATTTATGTCTAGGAATCACTTCATCTAATGAGTCTGGAAGCTTCTTGAATATGCAGTTACATCATAGCTTTGCCATAGCTGTGAAAGCAGCTGTGGCCCCGGAATAGAGGGGCACACTTGATGTAACTGTCATAGTGTAAAAACTTCACATACCCACATATTGTCATCAGTGTAAAAACGTCACAAAGCCACACATAACTGTTATGAGTGTAAAAGTCATTTCACAGTCTATCTACCTCCATCAAACACAACAGTTCATTTACCCCTACATGCAGATGCATAGACAGTCTCATCTCCAGTTCTTAAGCAAAAAGCAGAACTTTGCAGAATCTTCTTCTGTCAGGGCTTGAAATACAGAAATGTATTCAACGCGCAGAAGTCCATGGGCTACAGAAAAAGGAACTGAATATCAAATGTTAACCAGCCTTATCCTTTCTAATGTGACAACTTAAGGCATTGAGACCTAATTGGTTTCTTGTGCCTAATCACAGAGACAACTCCATCTTCTATCTTAATCCTCAGGGATGTCTGATCGTCTCACATTGCGACGGATGAGATCACTTCGTCCAACTTCAGCCATTTGCTCTTCCCAAGACTTCATTTCATTATCATAACGAATTCTATCATCTTTAGCAAGCTGAATGTACGCCTGAGGAAGAATATTAGAATATTTCATTTAGAAAAGAACAATTATCCTCTGGAATGCTCCCACCTACACAGAAATTATATCACTCTTCTCCATGCACCAAAGGAGAAGACAGAAATAGTGTTAGATAAAATGTTAGGGGAGAAAGGTTAAGAGAGAAAGTGTTTAGGAAAGTGTTCTCTAACGGTCGGTAGGTTGTTTGAGGACTTGGGGAAGAGAAGAGGGAAGGGCAGGTAGGACAAGACATGATTTATTTACTGACACACTCGTGAGTGAACAACCAAGTTGGCCTTAATGAAGGCAGTCTCTGAGTACTAACTACCATCACTGGTGCTGCTGGGTGATGCTACATGAGACAATCCTACCCCGATGGACATATAAAGTCAGAAACTACTACTCACCTGCCTTTCGTCACTAGATAGATTTTTCCAAGCCTCATTTATAGACTTCAGTCTTCCCTGTAAGAAAACAGAAGAGTTAAGATGTACACACCTAAGAAGACAGCAAAGGAGACCATTCCCCATTCATTCCAACAAAGAACTCAGATGTTGTTCACAAGCAACACCAACCGACATTATTTCTATTGGACAGTTACATTTCTATTGAACTGTTATATTTTGAAATATAACAGAGTATGAAATAAAATGAGTTATCTCTTCTGATTAAAAATGTTTGTATTCAGGTATAATCTCCACTTTGTCATAAAATAACTCCACAGGCTTTTTTCTTTCCTATAGTTATGTTTTATTCTAAACTTTGTGCCTAGGTGTTTAGGTATCAACCTGGAACAAGCAAGCACTCCTTAAATTCTACTCAGCTGATCACATGACCTGAGTGACTTGACAGGAAAAAGGCCACTTTACATCCCTCAGGCTTTGTTTACATAAAGCAATGGGGGTGCGGGGGACAGCACCTTCCTCATAACTTCACTTAAATAAAAAGTTTAAGATAGCTGGGCATTGGTGGCGCACACCTTTAATCCCAGCACTCGGGAGGCAGAGGCAGGTGGATGTCTGTGAGTTCGAGGCCAGCCTGGTCGACAGAGAGAGAGTTCCAGGACAGGCTCCAAGACAATACAGAGAAACCTTGTCTCGAAAAAAAAACAAAAAACAAAAAAAGTTTAAGATATAAAACCAACAGAAGAGGGCAGCACCAGCAGAAGAGGACAGTGACAGGGTGGGGTAGTAACTGGATTAACTAACACTGGCTGGAGTGCCTATAGGTAGTGAGGTGAACCCAAGAGCATCAGATTTACAAGGAGAAATCTAGTGTCTCAGTGGCAGCACCAGGCGAGTGTCAGAGAGGAAGGTGAAAAGAAGCTTAAATGTCTACCACGGCAGATTCCAGGACATTCATATTTTCGAGAGTAAAAAAACAGTCACAGTGAAAAGGCAACTTGAGGACAATGACACTTTGCAAAAAAAAAAAAAAAAAAAAAGCAATGGAAATACATGAAAACATACAGTATTTAAGGGACAGGAACAAATTCAAGAAAGTGAGAAGACAGACTCAGAAGGTCTATACAAATACAAGCTATATAGAGTCTAAACAGAAAGCAACAAAGAAAACAAATCAAAAAGAACCCAAACTCCAACTGGTTTCATCTAACCATTTCTAAAATTACATTTTACTTTGTGTGCTCATGCATGCCCGCACACAGTGAAATCAGGGGACAACTCAGAGGAGCCAGGTCTCTCTCCCACCATGTAGGTCCGGGGAAAACAAACTCAGGTCAGGTGCTTTTACCATCCCACCAGCCCAGATTTTATTGTTTATTTTTTCTGAGACAGGGCTTCTCTGTGTAACAGCCCTGGCTGTCCAAGAACTCATTCTGTAGACTATGCTGGCCTTGATCTCAGAGATAACACCTGTCTCTGCCTCCCAAGTGCTGGGATTAAAGGCGTGTGCTACCACCAATTGGTTCAGATTTTATTTTTTTAATCTGTGGTTTTTGGGACAGCCTGGGTAGCCTCATACTCTTGATCTTCCTGCCTTAACTACCCAACTGCCGGTTGTATTTCTCAAAAATCATAGTGGCTAGAAAAGCAGTGGTAATTTTGAAATGCTGAAGAAACCTTTTTGCCAACCCATAACTCTATGGCCAATCTAAAAACACGGGGGAAAAGGCAGTTTTTACACATGTAAAACCTGAAATACTAATTTCCCACATATCCTTAATTAAGGAAAAGCTAGAATGAGAGTAAATCAAGAAAAACAAGAAGAGGCACAGGGACGCTGATGCAGAAGCTTGGCATGCTGGTGAACACTGAACAGATGGCAGCTGCCAATCTGGAATAGAGCAGAAGCTTCAAGCAGAGCTGATATCACACTAGATGTACTCAGTGAGCACTGACAAACTGGAATTCAAAAAAGATCTTAAATGCAAAAAAGATCGTAAATGACACTGGGTAATTTGAATAATGTTCCTCTGTAAATATGCTGGAAACTCAACGCTGACAAGCCCCTCATGCATGTGTATATGTATGTATATGTATGTTTGTTGTCTATGTACCGATTTGTCTGTGTGCCCTGTGTATGCATGTGCATGTGTGTGAGTCTGTGTGTATGGGCATTAGAAGCCTAGGGTGTTTGCAGATGTTCTCATGTGGCTAAAGCTGGCCTAGAATTCTCTACGTGATCTAGGACAGCCTTGGTCTCTCAAGGACTTGGAGCACAAACATGAGCCACCCAAGCAACTTAGTATTTTTAAATGAGTAAAATTATCAAGTTATATTTCTATTAACTAAGGACAGGGCCAGATATTCAGGCTTCTAAGGTATTTCTAGAGTATGGACTACATGCCAAAATGGATGTATTCAAAGTTCTCACCAGCACAGTTTTAAAAACATAAATGTACCTACACCCAAAGTAAATCAGTAACTGAGAAAATTGTAACTATCAATGAAGTGAGACTCTATCAACCAAAAAGGTAAGCCTTCATCTCAGTATGACTAAGTCACAGAGATTAAAATCCCAAGGAGAACTCTGTCATGGTCATGGCTGTTAACACAACCCTTTTACTCTTGCCATTAAAACTTGAACACAGTGTACAGTCAAAATTTTACTGAATCCTAGCCCTCAGGAGACAGGGGCAGGTGGATCTCTGTCGGTTAGAGGTCAGCCTGGTCTACAGAGTGAGTTCCAGAACAGCTAAGACTGTTAAACAGAGAAATCCTTTCTTGAAAAAACAAAACAATAAATAATAAAAAGACCCCCACCAAAAAAAGAAAAACAAACAACCCCCAAGACCTTGTCTTTTCCAGTGCTGGGAAGCAAACCCAAGGCACCATACAGACCAAGCTGTCTGCCAGTGAGCTACATAGACTCAGCTCCAAGGATATTTTGGTTCAGAGACACAATAAATTTCCAAATTTTCTATTTCTCTTCATCATGCGATATACTAAACATACAACTTCCTACATGATTTTAAACTAAAACAATTACGAACAACCCGAAGCACTGCTTACTGAAGCAGATCCATCTTTAGTCTCTTGGAAGCTTTCAGATACATAAATGTTGTAGGCTGATCGAGGTCTTTTTGGTTTTCCAAGCAACGTTAATTCCTGAATAACAAAAATAAAAGCATCAGATACAGTCACTGGGAAGCCTAACATCTAAAGAAACAATTCACTACAATGCATAACAATCCAAATGAACATTACTATTTTGTATTCTTGAGACAAGGACTTGCTGGCTACCACCTTATGGCCAGCCTCTTTCCTCTGCCTCCCAAGTGCTTGATAAGCAGGGGCCTCTTTTTCTACCAATAGATTTGATGGATTGGGCTTAGGATGTGGCTTCCTTATAAGGAAGAGGAGGGGCCTCCCGCTCTCTTAGGTGGTGGTCTGAGCATCCTGCATGGTAGAATCCTGCTCCTCTAGGGACAGAAGACCTCAGTGGCTACTTACCTTCATTGTGTGAGTGCTCCCCAAATAAATATGTTATGACAGCCTGCACCACCACACCAGCAAATAGTGTGATTTGTATATAAAGCGTGTTTGTTACATCTTAGAAATTAAAAACTTTTCTAAGCATAAAGTCTTAAAAACTGTAATATAATGGGGTATTTCTCCATAAAGAAATATTTCCTTTACATGTTATTTTTATAGCTTCCATGAACTGAAAATTTTCTTAAAACATTTTTTAGCCGGGTGGTGGTGGCGCCCATCTTTAATCCCAGCACTTGGGAGGCAGAAGCAGGCGAATCTCTGAGTTCAAGACCAGCCTGGTCTACAAGAACTAGTTTCAGGGCAGCCTCCAAAGCCACAGAGAAACCTAGCTTGGAAAAAAAAAGCCAAAACAAAACTTGTTTTTTTTTTTTGGGTTTTTCGAGACAGGGTTTCTCTGTGGCTTTGGAGGCTGTCCTGGAACTAGCTCTTGTAGACCAGGCTGGCCTCGAACTCACAAAGATCCGCCTGCCTCTGCCTCCCAAGTGCTGGGATTAAAGGCGTGCACCACCAACGCCCGGCCAAAACAAATGTTTCATTTTTAAGATCAGTTTCTCCCTTGCAGGACACATAATCATACTGGCCCAATTAATACATGCCTCCCCTGAAGCTCATGAACACAAGACTATTTAGTAACCTTATCTCACTCCTCATCTTAATGGTTCGTATTCAATTCTTAACAGGTGCCAAGAAGGGGAACTATGGAATGGGCACACGGCATCTGACACGTGGTCCCATATTCACTGTGATAGCCTGGACTCTATTTTCTGTAATTGGAGAGCAGCAGTATCTGAATTTATAAAATGGGGTGGGTGAGATGGCACAGCAGATAAAGACGCGCATTGCACAACCCCTGTAAAGGTGAAAGGACAGAATCAATCCTACAAAGTTGCCCTCTGACCTCTAAGCCAGCATCCCTCCCCCCCATTACAAATAAAATGGGGGGGGGGGGGGGTGTCTGGGAGGTTAGGAGACCAAGGGTGTTATTAAATATCTAAGGTCTTATCTACATGGGCCTTATTATAGAAACTTAAGAGCATTCCCTAAATAAAGACAAATGTAGCCTGACTTTGAAACAGTACCCTTTCTGTAACAAAAGTTAGGAAACAAAAAATTTAACCATGCAGATAGATGTTTTCATAGTTATTTCTTTGAAAGGAAATAGACTCCTACCACGGAGGGAACTCCTTACTTGAATAACTCAATTCCTAATGAAGGAATTGAGAATGCTCAGCAACCTTCAAATTCATGAGCCTCTACAGATTCAAATGTGAAGTTAGTCTTGACAGGAGACTCGGAGTAAAGATTCTAGCTGTTCATCATTCGCTTGCTTCACAACTCAAGCTTCAGGCCAATCCTATTGACAGTTGCAACTAAGGACTTCCTAGACACACTGTGTGAGATATAGCATCCCGCTTTTGTCTAACTGGAGTGCCCAGCAGTATTCTTCCATGTCACATCTGTCACAGACGCAACAGAAAACTACCTAGATTTTTGGTTCCGGTGATTCTTTTCCACAGGAAAATAGTATTTCAATGTTACTTACTCTCTTTTTTATTGAGGCTTTCTTTTTTAAACGTTTTTGCCTGACTTCTTTCTCAAAAGATACCAGCTGAGATGGAGTTAGCTGGTCTTTAAACTTGCTCAAAGCTTCTTTGTATGCTTTCCAGTCTGCTTTAAAATCAGCTTCATACACCTGTACATTATTTAAAAAAACCCAAATAAAAAAATCAATGAACTGGTGCTGGCAAGCTCAACACATCACATTTGCCAGAGTCGACAGATGTATTCTTCACATGCTGCTAATCAAGGTGCAAGGACAGAACTGACCATTCTTCCTGGCTGTTGTCAACCATTCACCTGTAGTCCATCCATCCATCCCTATCAACATCATATATGAAACAAAAGGCATAGAACACCCGTGTGGACATGACTGCTAAGGGAAGAGAGGGGAGACTAAGGAGATAGATAACTCAGCTGGTAAAGTGCTTGCCATGGTCAGTGTCTATAACCCTCATGCTGGGTAGGGGTGGGGCAGAGACAGGTGGATCCCTGGAGTTTGTTGGCCAGCCAGTCTAGTTCAGTTGGCAAGCTATGTGCACAAGCAGAGATCCCATCCAAAGGTAAAAGGTATGAGCTACCTAGTCTTTGAAAAAAACATCATCCCTAACTATAGAACAACTAACTGGTCAGCAAAACTGAAAACATAAATGCTTACTTTTTTTTCTGCATCCGGTAGTTCCCTCCATGCGGCCGCTATTTTTCTAATCAGTTCTGAGATCTTTACATCTATAAATTACAACAGAATAAAATGGATTTCTTAATTTTATTTCTTAGGGGTTAACTTCTACAAACTTTTGAAATAGCCTAATGGCTCTAAAACCAAGCTATTTACATACATCTCTACATCCTACGGACACACTGTATCCAGAAATGCTAGGAAACTGCTACTTAGCTACCAGCAGTCCTTGGAAAGCTGCTGCTAGTGTAAGCACCTGGGTAATCAACTGCTTCTTGCTTCTTCTAGTTTTCTTTTTCAGTTTTTCAAGACAGGATTTCTGTATGTAACAGTCTTGGCTGTCCTGGAGCTCACTTTGTAGACCATGGCGGCCTGGAACTCACAAGAGATCCACTTGCCTCTGCCTTTTGAGTACTGGGATTAAAGGCCTGCACCACCACTGCCGGGACTTCTGTATTTCAATTGAAACATTTTGTCATGTCTTTCAGGAATTATTGTTACTAAAACCCAAATAAACTACAAGTTAGTTTTGTTGATACAATGCCATCTTGCATTTCAATTACAGAAATACCATTTCCTTTGTCTTAACTGGGGATACAATTGTTTTATCAACCATGTGTTAGTGCCAAGTTCTACAATTTAGAAGACGGGTATGGGTAGGAGCATGTCCCTTAAAAGTTTACTGTAGCCGGGCAGTGGTGGCGCACGCCTTTAATCCCAGCACTCGGGAGGCAGAGGCAGGAGGATCTCTGTGAGTTCAAGGCCGGGCTGGACCGACAGCCTCCAAAACAATACAGAGAAACTCTGTTTCATAAAACCAAAAAAAAAAAAAAAAAAAAAAAAAGTTTACTGTCTGTCCCTTACCTACAACAGGAGTACTTTAATACAGCTCACATGGTTTTCACAAACGCCCTGTGAGTACTCTAAGTACAGGCTTTGGAAATCATAAGCAAAGACCAACTTATTAATTCGGCTATTACCCTTGTACTATATACACAAATGAAGCCCCTTTAGCCCTTTCTTAGGCTATATGGAAATCTTTCCTACTTGCCAATCTTTTTTTCTTTCTCTCTCTTTTTTGCTAAGAACTCAGATAATTTCCAAAGACGTTAGCAGTGATTTGTATATATCAGTGTATTTTGTTTTGTTTTGGTTTTTGAGACAGGGTTTCTCTGTATTCTTTTGGAGGCCGTCCTGGAACTTGCTCTGTAGACCAAGCTGGCCTCGAACTCACAGAGGTCTTCCTGCCTCTGCCTCCTGAGTGCTGGGATTAAAGGCGTGTGCCACCAACACCTGGCTACAACCATTGTATTTTACAGACACTTCCCGGTAAGTTATTTTATTGCACCTTTACAAACAATGTCCTATCACAGAAGTAACTGCTAAGCAGTTTGTTAGTGGGTCTTTTAAACCCAGGGCAAGTAAGCCTCAACTTTATCTTTTATTTCTCTAGAGTGCTCTCCACTCTACAGGTTATTTTTAAAAATACTGTTTTCATTTATATTTAAAGAATGTCTAGCTGGGCGTTGGTGGCGCACACCTTTAATCCCAGCAGTCCGGAGGCAGAGGCAGGTGGATCTGTGAGTTCGAGACCAGCCTGGTCTACGAGAGCTAGCTCCAGGACAGCCTCCAAAGCCACAGAGAAACCGTGTCTCGAAAAAATAAAGAAAGAACGTCTATTAGTTATGTTATACACACCAAAGAAAATAACTGTTGCTAGATGTTCTGGCAGTGCAAATCAAGATTGCAGCTGGGAAAAATAAAATAAAATAAAACTCCCCAAATCACATTAGAGGAGCAAACTTCTTACCTGGGTGTTTAGCTTTAAATCTGGGTAGCTGTTCTGTAGAAAATCGAAGGTATGAAGTCATAGGTTTCTTTGGATAACTACCCAAGTTGGATGAAAAACATTTCGGAATACAGATAAGGCTACACACAGATAAAAAGAACCGGATAGAATGTCAGATGTTTACCATTCCTATACACAGACCTCAGATTCTAAATACAATGTCAACCAAGATGCTAACTATCCAGCGCCTTCACCAAAACTGCTAATAACCTTCAAGCGAGTCCCCTTCCCTCTGCTGTGCTTATTAATAAACAAGAGCTTCATTTACAGAAGCATGCTACAAAAGTCCTCCACAACCGGCCACTCCCCAGCCTTAGGGCTTACTTTAAAACCCTATCTTAACCAAGCAAGAGGCTGCAGGGCTGAAGCCTGCAAACGCGGCGCCCTGAGTGACCTAGGCAAACGGAAGGGACTGCGGGGCTGAAACACAAATCCTGACACCCTGGGTGACCTAGACAAACGCAGGAGTGGGCTGCGGGGCTAAGGCACAAGTCCTGACACCCTGGGTGACCTAGGCAAACGGAAGAAGGGGACTGCGGAGCGATCTGGGCAGAGTAGGGGCGAGTTACCCGCGCCGCAGCTCCCGGGGCCCCGCTTCCAGGGCACGAGGAGGAAGGCGGGAACCCTGGGCGCCGAAAGGTAGAAGGTGACAGGAAGTGGGGGGGGGGTCGGGTACCAAAGGGGCGTGAGGCCCCTGGCGGCCCGGAGACCCGGACGGGACCCAGGCAGGAGGATGACGGACGAGCGGAGCCCCCGGCCCGCGGCCTACCTGAGCGCCGAGGGCAAGCGACCTCCGCAACCCGCGCACATCTCGGCCCCGGAGCGCCCGAGCGCCCTTAGCGCGCCCCACATTCCCCGGAAGAGCGCCATCGCTCGGGCCGACGACGCGCTGGCCCGGCGCCGCCCGCGGAGAGCCGTCGTCGCGCCCACCACGGGCGCCTGCACACAGCCGAACCACCCGCGTGGGAAACCCGGGGGTTTGTTATCATGCCCGCCGCGCGCGGGGCACTGTGGGAAGCCCGGACTTCCGGTCTGAGGCAGGAGGCGGGGCGGACGGAAGGCGGCCTGAGTCCCCTCCTCCTCCTCCTCCTCGGTGGGCGGAGCTGGGGAAGGGGCGGCGCCTGCGGCGAGGCCGGGAGGTCTTGTTCGGAAGCGGGTGTTTCTGGGCCGCCGCGGCTGCAGGCTGCCCCCCCGCCGCGGGTTCTGCCGCGCGGCTTGCTTGGGGGTTGCAGGACGGGGACCTCGCCTGCCAGCTCAGGTCGCTGACGCTGGCGCCGCGGCTTGTGTCACAGTGCCTGGGCCCCTGAGGTCAGAGAACAGCGGTCCTGCCGATGCCCGAGCTACCAACTGCCTCGTTTCTTCCTTCGGAGCCCACAGGAGAGCGTGCGGGGCTACTGAGGGGTGGAGGAGAGGGCGGGAGTGAGTGGTCATGAAACCCATCGCTTCTCTCTAAAAATTAACTGAAAGGGAGGGGCTAGGCCCCCAGTCTGACAAGCTTCGTTCAGTCCCAGGGTTTACATGTTTGAAAGAGAACGACTCAAGGAAGGTGTCCTTTGACCTTCACACACAGTACACAAAATACACGAAAGTAAATGTGTCATTAAAAAAAAAGCAACCCAGGGTGCTGGAGAGATGGCTCAGAGGTTAAGAGCACTGACTGCTCTTCCAGAGGTCTTGAGTTCAATTCCCAGCAACCACATGGTGGCTGACAACCATCTACAATTCAATCTGGTGTATATGTAATAAATAAATAAATCTTTAAAAAAAAAAGAGAAAAAAAAAAAGCAACCCAGCTTGCTGGTGCAGGCTTGTAATCCCTTCCCTTGGTAAGTGGAGTCAGGTGTTCAAACATTTTCTGCTATATAAATCGAGTTCTGAACTAGTCAGGGATGCATGCTGCCCCCCCCAAACAAACCAACCCTAACAACAATAATAAAGCACAAATATTCTTAACATCTGAGCAGCAAATGTCAGAGCCCCTAAGACTCAGTTTCCCTCTTTGGCAGATCATGTGGACTAGTTTGTCCAGTCACAGCCCTGAGACTGTGACAAGGACACCTTGAGATGGACCCACATAGTGTACAATTTGTGTCCTACAAATACTAGTTGGGCTTTTTTGTTGTTTTTTGGTTGGTTAGTTGGTTTGGTTTTCCAAGACAGGGTTTCTCAGGGTAACAGCTCTGGCTGTTCTTGTAGGCAAGGCTGTCTTCGAACTCAGAGATCCGCCTCCCTTTGCTTCTAAGCACTGTGATTATTAATTTTTTTTTTTTTACGTGATGGCATGGAACAGATTAAGACCATCTGGAGCTATCTAAGGACTTCATGCAGTTAAATGTGTTACTTAAGGGTTGGGAGTATAGCTCAACTGGTAGAGTTGCCTGCCTGGTGTACATACAGCCCTTGGCTTAGATTCCCAGTTTCACATAAACCACATGGCGTCATAAGCCTCTGGTCTCAGAACTTGGGAGGTTGAGTAGGATGTTCAAGGTTATCATTGGCTACATAATAAATCCCAGGCTAGTTGGGCTAGACACCTTATCTCAAAAGTAAACTTCATTGAGCTTGATGGTCGATGCATTTAATCCCAGCACTCTGGATTCAAGTGACAGATGGAGGAGCTCTGTGAATTGGAGCCTGGTCTACATAGTTCCAGGCCAGCCAGAGTTAAAATGGTGAGGCCCTGCCTAACAACAACCTATTTTGTTACATACCTGTAATTGTTTTCCCAAAAAGAATAGCAACATCTCACTAGTGTAACACTGAGCAGAGAGAGTACTGCCCTTCTATAGCTTTGAAACACCGGCCTCTTCATGCTGCAGAGGACAAAGCCCACTCCTTTTAAGCCACACTGAGCACCACTTCCGCTTTCGTATACTCTGGGGGAGGGGGCGGGGTAAGCAGGACCTTCCTGTTCATCCTTTCAAACCTCCTGTCTCAGCAGCAGCAAGCTCCTTTGTGTTTGGTTTGCTCTTGGAGTGTATCCAAATGTGTAAAAAAAAAAAAAAAAAAAAAAAGCCAGGGCCAAAGCAGAGCAGTAAGAAATTATAGTACCTTACTGAGATGAAGATCTGCCCAGGACATAATTCCTTCTAATCCCATATCAAATGATTTCTAAAACAGTTTGCTATTGTAAATCAAGAAGATCTATCCTTGTTTTCATCACATATCAACCATTACAGTGTAGTGATTTGTTTTATTGTAAATGCATATTTACAAAGGAAACGGTACTTAAACTAACATCTTTGGTCAAAAATGGCTTCTGGTTTTCATTTACATCTACTCAAAGAAAACAGTATGGTCTTTCCCCAGATTTTGCCCTCTATGCCCATAATAGTACTGTCTGTCACAGTCTCGTGGTTCTGGTATTTTATATGTAGCCAAGAGCTCTCCTTTCAGCTCCATGTCTATAGACTCACTCAGTGTCACTGCCTCATGGTTCTTGTAGTCTATACAAAACGCAGACCTCTCCTTTCAGACCCATTGCTTAGACATCTCTACCACGATGTCTTACCCGACACCCACATTTTAAAATTCTGTGCACAAAAGTCATGATCGTTTCACTTTCCCTAAATCTCCCGCTTTACAAATCCCAGTCAGTAACTTCTTCCAATCATTTTAGGATCTCTGTGTTGACACTCCACTGTCGCACCTGCTGAGCATCCTGTATCCGAGAATGTGGCGAGGATTGATGACACAGGGACCGATCGGTTGCGTTAAGAAAACTTTATGCCCCCAAGTCAGCTTAGGAGAACTCCCCAAGAAAAAACGCTTCCCTTTTTAAAGACTTCTGCCATCCATACACACACAATTCTCCAACCGGGCTCTCACACACCTCTCACAGCTCTCCCAGACTTCTCACCCTCCTGGCTGGTGGTTAAGTCTCCGGCACCAGAATCGGGGAGAAACAGCAGGGAGCAGGAAGAAGCAGCTAGCCGTGGGGGGGGGAGGAAATATCAAAGTCATGGTGTTTCAGTGAGTGAGCCCTATCAGGAGCTTATGGCACTGAATTGTTTTCAGTAAACATGTTTTCAGTAAACATTGTCTCGCAGCTGCCTGCTCCCAGGCTGATGGAGGGTGGAGGGGTGGGTTTCTGGCCAGGGTCTGTGATCCCCACACTCCACTTAACTAAACCACTGCTGGTGCTGATGGATGAGATCGACCTTCCAGTATACATGCTCATTAATGTTATGGCCAGAAATATGCTGGAAAATCACTTCTCTTCAAAAGAGAAAAAAAAAGATGCACTCAAAGTCAAGAAAGGGTTGTTCTCCTGGAAATAGAAAACGAAGAACAGCCGGGCGTTGGTGGCGCACACCTTTAATCCCAGCACTCGGGAGGCAGAGGCAGGTGGATCTCTGTGAGTTCGAGGCCAGCCTGGTCTACAGAGCTAGTTCCAGGACAGCCTCCAAAACAATACAGAGAAACCCTATCTCGGGAAAAAAAAAAAAAAAAAAAGAAACAAAAAAACGAAGAACAGAAAGAGAACACGGGGTTGTGGAGACAACTCAGTCTGGAGCTTAAAGAACTTGCCTCACAAGCATGAGGGCCTGACTTTGGATCCCCAGCACTCAGATGAAAAGGCTAGGCACGGCAGCATCCCCATGCTGGGGAGGTAGAAACAGATCCCTGGGGCTTGCTGGCCAGCCAGCCCAGCCAAACTAATGAACTCCAAGCTCAGTAAGAGATATTGTCTCAAAAAAAAAAAATAAATAAATAAGGTGAACACTGAGGAAGAAATCCAACATCACCCTCCGGCCTCCATGCACACTTGTACATATATCCACGTGATGCATACATAATTCTGGACGTGTGTGGGAGGGTGTCTCTAGAAGGATTGGCTGAGGCAGAGAGAACCTTACCCTTGTCGCAAGTGGCACCTTCCAAGTAGTGCAGCTGTGAAGAGGTCCCAGGGAAAAGCAGCCTTGTCTGCCTGTTAAGCAAGTGGACCATTGTGGCTGCCACCTCCAGCATCCTTCACTAACAATCAATACACAACTTCTTGGCTTTACAGTGTGAACTAATGACCAGCGGTGGATGGAGAGACAGATATATGGACAAATGAATGGGTGGATTCTTCCCGTCAACCTGATCCCAGAGCCACGTCAGTCCTAAATGAACACACAGGGCGCTTTATTAATTATGAAGCTGTTAGGCATTTGCTGTGATTTCTTATTGGCTAGCTCTGACTTAATTATTAACCCATAACTGCTAATCTGAGTGCTTCCATGTGGTCTTCTCTTACCTCCTACATGGTGACTGACTGTGCCTCCATTTCCCAGAATCCTCCACCTCTCCCAGTCCCACCTATCTGGCTTCCCTATTTGCCAACAGTGCTTTATTCATCAACCAAGGAGACAAACATAGACACAGAAGGACTTCCCCCATCAGTGGATGGCCAGCTGATGATTTGGGTAGATGGAAGATTCATGGATGGATGGATATGAAAAGAGAAGCATCTCCCGACTGTTTAAGATGAGAATTTGGCCCCATAGGGGATGATGGTTTCTGTTAAAAGTGTCATTTTAGTAGACGGACATGTGCTATGAGCTCACTGAGAATGTGTTCTGGAAGCCAGGGTTGCACTTACAACCCACCCCTGCCTTTTCAAACCCAAGTATGTTTGTCTCAAGGTCCCCCAAAGCCCCTGGTCTGAGATGAGCTGCACCCTTGTCCCAGCTTCATGACAGAGAGGAAAGTACAGCAAACAGGCCCAAGAGGACAAACAGTATGTCCTTGAAAACAGCTGAAAAGTTAAATTATTTCTACATTAATCTACACCAGGTGGTTCTGTATAGACGAGGTGGTTCTGCGTAGACATGCAAAGCACATTTTGGGGTTGTATACATGAATATAATGATTTTGTTTAATCGATATTCACACAGTGGTGACACATAAGGTAACACTGCTAGTTAGCATCAGTGACCACAGGCCTGGATAATTCCATGCTGGGTAATGGAGTGAGATGTATGGATGGCCTTCAAATACAGGGGAAAATATTCCTAAAACAGAAGACAGTTTTGTTTCTATAGTTATAACAGGCAAATACCTTAGCCACAGTTAGATCTAGGCCCTCTGAAAGAGAGAGAGGGGAGAAAGAGGAGAGAGAGAGAGAGAGAGAAAGAGAGAGAGAGAGAGAGAGAGAGAGAGAGAGAGAGAGAGAGAGAGAGAGAGAGAGAGAGAGAGAGAGAGAGAGTTTCCAATAGAGACTCCTGAGCCAAGCAGGATGTCACAG